TCATCAGATATTTCTTGCTTTCAATGAGGAGCAGATAGTCATAGAGCTATAGTGATCAACTCTATTTTGCAGTTATGTACTTAATCTTTGAAGACACAGAACACTCTAAGAATCAGAGACATCTTACAAGAAGATTACCCTTTTTATACACAAAAATGAGATAGAGGAAAGTATTTATTAGACAGATGAATAGAAGAACATGTTATTCCCAGCTACTGAATTGCATTTTTCTTCTAATTCTCAGAAATTGAGACAAAAGGTGTTCTTTTTTCACATTGCCAAAAGGTCAACAAATAGGGATTCTTTTGTAGTAGAGAGGAGATGAATTTTAGAGCCTAGGCCTTCCCACCCTATTCTTTTCTTCCCTCATACATTAATATATGACACACTTAAGCAACTGTCTTTCTTTCAATAGGAGTGTCTTCAAATGTCTAAAGAAAGAATCACCCCGAGACACTGAGCTCCTATAATTAGGATTGATATGTTAAGAGCAATTACTGTGTAATCTCTGTTTCTATCGCATGGGAGTAAGGCTTTTTCAAGGACATTCTCAAATGTTTATGTTATCCTTGTGCTCTCAGCATGAAAAAACACACAGGTACACACATACATGGACTCTGTGACACACTCCACTTGTGCCCTCATGCACCTACACATAATTCTTTTGGTGTGAAGTAATATTTCTTAAAGCCATTGTTTCAAAGAGCTGTCTTCCCTGCCTTTCTCTAGATATCTTGGAAAAGTTTTGAGAAACTATGGCTTCAACAAAAATCCTTGACCTTTTCTGACCCTTTTGAAAATGTAAATTCTTAAAAAATTATAGTGGCTTATTTCATTCCCATCATTCAGAGCTACTGAATATATTTGAATATATTGAATATGCAATCATGGAAAATGAGTATGGCATTTACCTTTTTTTAATTTAAAATTTAAAACATTTTAAATACTATCACTCTTGGACACTTATGCTTTTTAAATTTTTTGTTAGACATGGAAATAATTAACTTAAGAAAATGCTTTTTTATCCTTATTCTCATAGCAAAGAATCAATGGATAAAAAATGAAATCCTAAAAACATAGTCCAATTTAAAAATAAAGGCTGCTTTAATACTGTGTGAACCTAGTACTTCCAGATTCTAGCTATGTAGATGAGTTGCAAAGCAATGAGCCAACTGACTAAAGAAAAAAAGATCTGAGTCGGTTCCAACAACAGAAACCTATCCTTCTCATGTAATTTTAAATTTACAAAAATTTAAAATTTTTGCTTTTATGTTCCTTTTTAAAATGAGCCTTTAAATATCAATTTATAATCTTTTTTCTCTCTCTCACAAATGTCACAATTGTGAAATCAGTGCAGTTTTTCTAATGTTTCATTATTTATTTATTTACTTTTATTTACTTATGATAGCCACAGAGAGAGAGAGAGGCAGAGACATAGGCAGAGGGAGAAGCAGGCTCTATGCACCAGGAGCCCGACACGGGATTCGATCCCAGGTCTCCAGGATCACGCCCTGGGCCAAAGGCAGGCGCTAAACCGCTGCGCCACCCAGGGATCCCTCTAATATTTCAGAATACTCTCAGAGTTATCACCTTTGTGTGCCACTTTCTGCATAGAGAGATCATACTAACAATGTGTACTATGCACTCATTCAATCACTCTCCTTCTGTTCACCCAACACTGATTATGTACCATGCAATGCTGTGCGCTAAGGATAAAAACAAATCTGAGACAGTCGTTGCTGGAGGCCTAACATAAGCACAGTCCCACATAATGCAATTTCTAACTGGGCACAGGCATACAACACAGAATTGCAAAGCATTCTCACCGTTATCATCACATTCAAATTTATTTTTGTTTTTTATTGCTTATGTCACTATTTGACATAGTATTTATATGAACGTCTTGTTGTCTTTTCCCCCTCAATAAAATTTTACTTCCTTGAGAGTAAAATAAGATCTCTTTTTATAACTGCTGTAGCTGTAGTATCTGGAGGAATGCCTGTCATGTAGTGGTTTTCCAACAAATATTTGTTGAATGAATAAACAAATGAATTCATGAACATATGAAATGAATGATGGAATGCATAAATGGATGAATGGATGAATGAGTGAACAAATGCAGAGGTTTGCCATCAGGTACGGATGTTTTCACACTGGAGCAGTAAGCTGTGGAGGTATGTGAGCTCTCATGTTTTGAATGGCAAGCAAGCATTCACCAGATGGGCAAAAGAGAAAATATCTTAGGCATAGGGAGAAGAAGGTGCCGTGTACTGGAGATAGGGGGATTGGCTATGTCTGGGAACTGAAAGTCACGTTTAGTTTAGCTAGACAGTAGGTATATCTGAAGGAAAGTGTGTATCAGAAAATGACTTGGTTCTATTATAGTAGGAAAAAAAAGAGAAAATGAATGAATTTAGGGACTTAGGGACAATGTAATGTGTGGAGATGAATATTTCATCAAGTTTATTAAGTTCCTGGAGATATGGTTGGTCATAATTTTTGTATGATATGTTGTAATATTATTGTTATTTGTTCTTATTCTATTTTTTTCTTGTTTAATTTTTTAGATCCTGTACCAATTCCCTTATCATTAGAGGAAATTAAATCCTTTTATCAGAGGAACTAATACTAAAAGCTGTGTATGGTTTTCAGGTCTTTGAAAGAGGTTTATTACCCAGAGAGCAGAAACACAGAAACACACTTGTTCATCATTATTTATTTCATCAATCTTTACATGTTGGGTATGGTTCTAGACCAAGTATTCATAAGCTGTTCCTGTAGAGCTTAGGCTTTACAGAGCACATACAAAGTTCTAATTTCCCGACTCTGTCATGGTAGGGTGAAGCAGCCATGGACAACACATAAATAAGTGGATGTGATTGTATCCAATACTATTTATTATGGACATGGAGATTTGAATTGTATGTTGTCATGTGTCATGTGTCACTCTTCTTCTTTTGATCTTTTTCAACCATCTGAAAATGTAAGAACTTTTCTTAGCCCCTAAGCCATATAAAAAACAGGTGGTGCAAATTTGGCAGTTGGCCCTAGTTTGCCAGTCCTTGGTATATAACCGAAGGAGAAAAAAATGTCTCTTCTCTCATGAAACTTACATTGTAGCTCACAATAAGCAAAGATGGTTATGAGTGCTATTAAAATAAAAAAGAGGATAAGGAGGATTGGGATTGATAAAGGTGTGTGTAAGCCAGAGGATGTGTGTGTGTGTGTTTGTGTTTGTGTGTTATTTCAAATAATTTAACTAGGGAAGATTTCTCTGATAAGGTGGCATTCAGCCTGAGTGAAATGAGGGAGTAAGCCATGTGGATGCCTGAGGCAAGAGAGTTCAAGGAGGAAGGGCAGGAAATGTACAGCCCTGAGGCAGGAGCATGCTTACAGTGTTCTGAAGCTGGGAGTGCAGTTTCAGGTGTGCAGATGCAACAGGGTACATGAGGAGTAGAGTAGCTGACAGCAGGAGACATGAAGCCAGCAGACCCGCTCACACAAAAATACAAGGACCTAGAAAGAGTTCTACTTTCCCTGAGTCCAATCATCTCTGAAGCCAGGGCTCCCCTATGGGCAACAAAGGGCCTTTAGTCATTAAGCCAGTTTGAGTTGAGTTTCTTCGCAAATAAAAGGAATGATGTTATATTTCTAAACATTCAAAAACCAGAAATCCCCAAAGATGTGTGTATGCTACTTGACAGGTGACATTTCTAGATATTTCTGAAGCTCCAACCCACAGGCGAGAACACTGAGGCTCATTTCTTTTGCCTTAATCTCTCTCTTCCCAGCCATAAGATTCAATAAGTCTCAAGTTACACACGAAAAGGGTCTGGGAAAGGAAAGGTGTAATGACTACACCTATGGCGACAGGTATCAGTAGATGAATGAAAAAAATGAACAAATAAATGAATGAATCCCCATATTAATAAAAAAGTACTGTTCATTCATAAGGAAAGCATTATTATTATTCTTTTCTCTAAGGAAATCGCTCATGAGCATACCATAAGGCTCCTGTATTTAACTTAGAGATACTAGTTAAAGCTTCCTATGTACACAAATGCCTGCATATAGTTACTTCTGGCCCACTCCAGATCCTTAATGTCCAGTAACAAGATCAGCAGGGTGACAGATTATACGGGAGAAGCAACTCAGTGTAGTTAAAACATATTCCTGTCATAATCATTTATTTTATTTTATTTTATTTTTACTGTTTCAATTTGTCTTTTTATTATAACATGAGCTAAATTTAAGAAATTAGCCTTTTGACTTTATTTCCCAGAGTTGTTAGAACATCTAAATGACAACATAACTCATTATGAAATATACTGAAAAGTACAAGGACTGATGTAAAATGGTAGTCAAGGTTCCAGGTACCAAGGGATTAGAATAAGTGAAGGATAAAACGAGTCAGGCTATATAGCCTGACAGATGCAGGACGTGCTGGTTTAGCAAGGTGCCATCAAGGAGTAGGAAGACCATCAAATGTGTGCTGTTAAGTCACAGCATGAGAAACCTCTCCAATGTGCAACTTCCTTTTTTTGTTTGGTAAATTGAGTTTTTCTTCATTACACTTAGGATTTCTTTACGCTAACATTTCAAAATTAATTCATCAAACAGGAGTTATTTTTATAGGTAAGGTAAATCACAGGATAACCAATTAGAAAAAATGTTCCTTTTTTAGTCAAAAAGCCTTCAAATGGTCAGGGACTGATGAGTGAGGATGGCAAAATGTACATTTCAGATTTTCAACACCAATGTAAAAATAAAGCATTTTTATAGACTTAAAACTGTCAGTGCATTTGGATTTTGATGAAAGAAAATTTAAAATACCTCTACAATAATACAATGTTAATAGAAATTGGCCATGTACTGAGGTCATTTTAGTGAGCTACCATCATGTAAATATAAGAAAAATAATTTCTTGGTCCAAATCAGTGAAACTTAAAAAAAGATTGTCTCTTGAGAACATTGCTTTTTCAGACACATCCTGGTATTCAAAATCACTTTTATAAGACAATTACAGATTAACTTTTTAATTATATTTTTCTTAAAAAGCTGTGAGATTTCCATTTCTTCGGGAGATATTTTCACCACTGTGCTGTTCAATTCCACAGGTTAAGCTTTCTTCATTATTATTCAGAACTTCATACACGTTAGAGAGATTGCCATTCATTGTTTTTTCATCTTTTCGAAAAGACACGGGGAGACTTGCTAGACTAAAGCTGACGTCTTTAAAGGCATGCAACAAGAATATTCCCACAATGATTGTAAAGAAGCCACTCAGAGTACCAATGACATCAACAGGCATATCTTGCCACTCTTTAAAAAGAATAGCTGAACAAGTTAAAACTGATGTTGTAAAGAATATGTAATATATCGGAGTCACAATGGAAGTGTTGAATATATCCAGGGCCCTGTTCAGGTAATTAATCTGTGTGCTCACACAGACTATAAGGCTCAGCAGCAGAATCCAGGCCAGGGGATGTCGCAGCACAGGCTTTCCAGCAAACAGCTCTTTGATTGCAATGCCCAGGCCCTTAACACAGGAGACTGAAAATGCTCCAATCACAGAGCAGATTGTTATATACACAAGAATATTTGTCTGTCCATGGCGAGGTCCCACCACGAAGATTAATATCAATGACACAATGACCACAAGTGTTGCAAAGACCACAAAACCTGGATCCCCCAGCTTGTGAGACATTTCATTTAAAGTCTCAATCTCCTCTTCTTTTGGAGCATGAATGACCATAACTGTAGATCCTAGAATACTTAGCAAACATCCAATTTTCCCATGAAGATTAAGTCTTTCATTTAGAAAGTATGAAGAAAGAGTGAGAGCTCCTAATGGAGTCACTAGGGTGGCTGGAGCAAAGGCATATGCAGCAAAGTTGGCCACTTCACCTGCTCCCAGTGAGAGCAATCCAGCCCGCCACAACCATTCTTTAAGATATGCATGGCCACCTTGACCTGCTCTCACGGGGCCCTTCTTGGCAAGTCGCAGAAGACCTTTTTTTTTTTCAAGACGAAACTCCCACCAATGAAAACGCTGGAGCTCATAGCCAATCCCAGACCGATGTAAAAATCCTATTTTCCACGCCCCTGGATCATTTCGTTTGTTACTAAAGAAGTTCTTGTGAGTCACATGGGGCACAGAACAGGGAAGCCACTAGTGCTGGAGGCAGGACTATGTAATCTTCAAATATGTAAATTTAATATGGTCTCATGAAAAAAAGGCTGGAAGCGGTTAGAGATGACTTATTCACTCTCATTTCCTTGTAAATAACACTCTTTATTCTCATTTAAAGTCTTAAACCCTGGCGGTGGCCGGCCCTGCGGCTGCCTCTGCACTCTCTGGCCCTCTCACCGCGGCTTACACGCCCCCACAGGCCGCGCGGGCCGCCGCCTCTCGGGCTCGGGCTCGGGCTCGGGCCGCCGGGGCCATCGTCGCGGTACAGAAAGAAGCGAGAGCGCTCGGGGCTGCAGCGGTGCGCGCCGCCTCCTCCACGGGGGAGCGCCCGGGGGAGCCTGCCCCGACGACCTACGACGACCGCCGCAGCCGGGCCGCCGCCCTCATTTATTTTATTTTAAAAATTGTGGTAAAATACTCACACCAAAAAGATACCATTTTAAATTTTGTTTTTATTTATGATAGAGAGAGAGAGGCAGAGACATAAGCAGGCTCCATGCACCGGGAGCCCGACGTGGGATTCGATCCCGGGTCTCCAGGATCGCGCCCTGGGCCAAAGGCAGGCGCCAAACCGCTGCGCCACCCAGGGATCCCCAAAGATATCATTTTAAATGTATGATTCAATAGCATTAAGCACATTTACGCCGTTGTGCAACCATCACCCTCATCTTCAGAACCGTTTGCCTCTTCCCAAACCAGAACTCTGAACCTATTAAACACTGGCTCTTCTTCCTCTGAGCCCCAGTTTCTAGTACTCATCTTTCTATTTTCTCTATGACTTGACTGCTTTAGGTACCTCATAGAAGTGGAATCAAAAAGACAGTATTTGTCCTTATGTGATGGGCTTGTTTCACTTAGCACAATGTCGTCAAGTTTTACCCATTTTGTAGCATGTCTCAGAATTTCCTCCCTTTTAAAGGTGAAATGATATTGCATGTATAGTCCACATTTTGTTGATCCATTCATCAGTTAATAGACACTTGTGTTGTTTCCATCTTATGGCTACTGTGAATAATGCTGCTATGAACACGTGTATGCAAATGTCTCTTGAATTCTTTGTTTTTTAAGATCTTATTTATTTATTTATTTATTTATTTGAGGGAGAGGGAGTGAGAGCACAGAAGGAGAGGGAGGGGAAGAAGCAGACTCCCTGCTGAGCAGAGAGCTCAATGGTGGGACTTGATCCCAGGACCCTGAGATCGTGACCCAAACCAAAGGCAGAAGCTTAACTGAGCCACCTGGGCACCCCAAGTTCTTGTTTTTAATTCCTTGAGTATATACCCAGAAGTGGAATTGCTGGATCATATGGAAATTCTATTTTTAATTTTTTCTCAAAATTATTTTTATATCCTCTTTTCATTTTTTGGTATATGGTTTCTTCTAATTCATTGGCATTGAATCTTGAATCTAATGAAACCATACTTCAGTGACTTTAAGGGAATGATTTTAGGAAATAAATATCAAAATAATTCCTGTCACCAATTAGCAAATATGTTGCAAAGTATACATAATCCACTTGTTTCATTCAAATAAACCATTAGAACTAGTCATGAAAACAAAACTTCATCCTGCTAACATCTCTGAATGTGATATAACTACTCTTGGAATCTTGAACTGAAACAAACAAAAAAAAAAGATATGTCAGGCCACCCAAGATAAATTGAATAACATTTCATTATTGAAAGGGATTTTAATAGATTTTTTTTTTCAAAGGAGCGATCCTTATTAATGCTAGAACTGGGTTTCAGCTGACAAGAGTTTCTTCTGAGCCTAGAGCCTGTTTGCCTAACACAAATCTTTCTTTGGATACAGGCACATATAAACTGGTGATAATAATAATTATTATAAATGCAAACTACAATGTTGATTGTTTACTACGTGCCCATTACCGTGATGAGCATTCCACAGTACCTTATGAAATACAATAGATCTGCGAGGCAGTTTTTTATGATTCTCATTGCAGCAGACTCTGCTGCTCTCTGCTGATATATTCTTTCCTCTTAAATGACTGCAGTTCTGTGTTTCAGCTGGACACGTGACTGGTCAGAAGGCACTTCTAAGCCTCCCTTATAGCCCCATTGGGCTAATGCAAAATGAACAGAAGTGATGTGTGTGACATCTGGGTCGTGCCCTTCAAAAAGAAATACATGTGCGCTTCCTTGGCGCTGGGGAGAACTGGAGTGACCACCTAGAACCCAGAGAGGAAAAACTATGTGTTAAGGAGGACGCAGCCTCTAGTCAGTCAGTGAACTCTGGACTACTTCATAAGACAAACTTGTAACTTTTTAAACGCATCATTCTTTAGGGGTTCTGCTTTAGTGCTTAGGCCTTAAACTAAGCAATATAATTTCTTTTATCGGTGAGGGATTGTTGGTTAACTTGCCTGCCTCCCTCAACCAGGTTTGGAACACTGCAGCTCTATGCCATCCTGCCTCGCATCCTGGGAACATTACACGCACCATCCTCAGTGTTTCCTCTACCATCTCAGTTTCTACAAAACAAGGTATATGTTGCGTACCTCAAGGCAGCGGGAGAAACAAGGTGCATCTGGTAGGGAGCAGCTGAACTAGTCAGGATGTCTGGCATATAACAAGGTGTGGGTGGTAGCCAGAGCCCATACTTAGGAATTGCAGATAGAACTCTAAAATCAGGGATCCCTGGGTGGCACAGCGGTTTAGTGCCTGCCTTTGGCCCAGGGCGCGATCCTGGAGACCCGGGGTCGAATCCCACGTCAGGCTCCCTGCATGGAGCCTGCTTCTCCCTCTGCCTGTGTCTCTGCCTCTCTGTCTCTCTCTGTGTGACTATCATAAATAAAATCTTTAAAAAAATATTTATTAAAAAAAAAAGAACTCTAAAATCAGCGTTGCATGGCCAGGGAAATGAGCTAAACACATAGCTATTAGACTTTATTCAGTCAGGGTCCATAAAACAGTTCTGCTTACAGCACCTTCAGGCTTCCTTGTCTCCCTATTATCCTCATGGTGCAGACCAAAAATCCCTTAGCTTGCTATACATGGCCTGCTTAATCTCTTTCTAATTTATATCTCTAGGTTCATCTTCTCTCCAGTTTAACTGTGTGCTTCCCATGGCTCAAGAGCAGCGAATTATTTTTCCTTGAATGTAAATGTTTTCACAGCTTTGTCCTCACATGTCCCTTAGTAGTGTTAAAAATGGTCTTTTCTCTGAGCTTTCTCCATTTGATAAACTGATTCATCCCTCAAGGCTCTTTATCAGCATCACTCTGTTTGTGAGGTCTTTTCTGACTCTCCCAGGCCTAGGTAAGAACCACTTAATTTTATGTGCTGCGAGGTATCATCCACTTATTTATAATATAGCACTAGTACTATGTGGCCAAGGACTATGTGCTTTCTGAAGGTAGGAAGTTAAATTTCTAAGTGCAGAGCTCAAGAAAACGCTTGGCGTGGTTAGTTACTTCATGGAAGTATGCTGGGTAAAAAAATGATAGATTATGTTAAGGTATGCCTAGTAGATTGAAATAAAATATAAAATAAGTATAGCTTATTATACAATCCATATTAGAGATGGTAAAATAATTATTGTATTATTTTACATTTGTACATACTGAAATGCATTAGCACTTTATTACCTCACTAAATGTTTAGATCAGCCTGCCAACAAAATGATTCTTTTGTACAGGAAAAATAATTTGATCAGTGATGAGAAAATACATTATTTGCTTTTGACTATTGTAATTAACTAGGCAAAAACAGAGCAAAACAAAAAAATTATGGTTGAATTTCAATATGTGAAGAAAGCCACTGTTTCTAGACTTTAGAATTTTCACTTGGTTATTTGGGTGCTACTACAAAAAAATTGAGTTACTCTGGATTCTCTTCTAAAATGTTCCTCATTTCTATAAAACACTTGACAATCAGACCAACTTATGAAATACCAATCAACAATACCCATGAAATAAATTGTTGGAAGCTATTCACTGGAACCCTCTTTAAGGAATGAGAGGTATTGGTAATTAGTGGTATCAGTTAGGGTTAATTAGTTTGAAATGAAGAGAGTTGAAATTCTTGATGCAACAAAGTCATCTTTTCAGGATGTGCTTTCTATTTTAAAAAGAGATTGATAAAAGTTGCTATATCCCAGCTTCTACGCCTCACTCGTCTTTCTGTCATTAGTGCTGTCCAGGTCTTAAAGTACAGCGATTTAAATTTCTCTGAATGCCAGAAGCAACAAACTCTGGAGATCCAGTGAGCGGCCTGTGTACGGCATTGTTGGACAAGCAGACTCTCCGCCTTAGAGCGCCAGAGGGGGAAATAGTCCCTATGACTTTTTATGAGGAACCTTCTCTAGGATTCTGACTTTAGATAAAGACAGGCACAGAGCCTTTTATTTTTATGAGTTTCACACCCTTTCTTATGAAGAAGTAACAATTAGAGATCTCTTTGGAAGGATAGCTAATACAATTTTATATAATTAAAATTTCAAACTGTAATAATAAATATGAAAATTAAAATTGGCTATTAACACAACCACTTAATTTTTTTGAAAGGCCACTTTGCCCAACATATGTTATGAAAAATTTCAGAAACAGGCTGCAAAGTTATAGAAGACATTTGTGTCTACCTCGAGGTACTACAACCAAAGCTCTAGTCAAGGTATAGAATGTTACCAGTGCTTTAGAAAGTTTCCTCATGCCCCTTTCCAGTTAATCCTGCCACCAGATCCTCCAGAAGCAACTACTATTCTGATTTTTTTTTTCCCTACCAGAGATGAGTTTTGCCCATTCTGGGACCTCACATAAATAGAATCATATGACATGCACATTTTGAGTTTGGCTTCATTTACACCTCAACGGTTTGGTGATTCATCAATGTTGTCATCTGTATTAGTAGTTCAGGGCTTGTGATTGCAGAGTAGTATCTGATTGTATAGACCTACCATGCTTTGTTTCTCTATTCTCTTATTGATGGATACCAAGGCCCTTTTTGTTTTTTTTGGATATTATGACAAAGTCGTAAATGTTTTTGTGAACATAGGTTTTTCTTTTTATTTGACATGATGGAAGATATCACGATGGGGATTATTGGGAGGCAAAATCTAGTCAGCAGACACTTCTTGAAACCTCTGCTGGTACCCA